AAGGCTTTCATTGTACACTTTAAAAGATATTAGTACTACTATGTGATGCAGCGTTCGTCCTAGTCTTATTGGCTTATATAAAGAGGCTACTGATTGTGCAATAAGTATTGTAAAAAGCGCATTATAAATTTGGGCTTGTTTTATTGAACATTGATTTGATGTTCCTTCCCTATGTTGTGCACACAATTTCTTTTTGTTTTAGCAAATCACATGTTCTTGGCTAAATCACATGTCCTTTGACTATTTTTTTTCTTCCTACTCTCTTCTAGGTCTTTCCATTTCTCCATTCTCATTCTTCAATGTTCCAGTAATCTTCACTCAGAACCTGAGGTATATCACTTTAATTATTACTTTAATTATCCAAGATTTTTTTTCAATTGTTCCTGCAATTTTCAGGTATATATATGTTGATTAATTGTTTTGATATGCATTTAATTTTCTTTTACCCTTTTGGGTTTGAAATGATTTCTATTTGGGCATCTGTTGTTTGAGGTATATTTTGATTAAGGTTTATATATAAAGTTGTGGATGATTGTCAAAGTTTTGATCTTGAATTGAATTTGCGACAGGAATCAAAGGGGTAAAAAGAAGATAGTTGATTTTTTCTTGTTCTTTTTGAAACTGGATTATGGGTTTCCGATGTTGAAGTGGTATAATTAAGATTTCTCAAATCAATATTTTCTTTTATTTTTGTTTTCTATTTTTTAATTCTATGTGTGGATATGTAAATCAATATGCTAATGCGCCACTGAAATCAAATAAGGGGGTAACACTTAGAAAATGATATACTAAAAACATTAATTTTATTACTTTGTTGTCATATCATGTTAAGACAAATTGTAGTATTGTAACTAAAGAAATATTAGTTGTACTGCCAATTCCTACAACCACGTCTGTACACTTCCTTGTTTAGATACACATATTTAACTTTTAATTCACTTTGTGAGAATAGCTGATAACCACATCTATTTATACTTTTTAGTCCTAATTCTCAAGCACGATTACTTTTTTTTCTTCAAAAATACCAAGTTCCTTCTCTATTTCTCTTTTCTCTCAAAAAGTATTTTAGATCGTTGTTATTAGAAATTCAAGCTACAAAATTGATGAATTCTCTTTGCTACAAATTAGTCCTTTTTCGACATTGTTTGAGAGCTATTTTTCTTTTGCTTTAGTGCTAGTTAGTCTTTTTATTTTTTTTCCAAAAAAAAATTATGAAAATTTTATGGGTCCTCTATGTTAGGACGATTGGAGTGGAGAATGATAAAAATAGCCTCAATGCCTTTTCTATTTTTATAATTTAGTTTAAAGGTACTTATTTTATTGAAAAAGTTTATATTGTTGCTTACATGTCATTTTTATGACTTCTTATTATTTGATGTTTCTGAAATTTTGTATTGAGACATTCATTTTTAGAATAAATAATTTTGGCCAAAATATTATAATCATGATTCATGCCTATTCACATTATGAACAAGTTTCATTTTGGCCACAAAATATCCTTATTGTTAGCATATTGAGATGACGAAATAAATGCGTCTTGATTTCCTCCAACTCCTTACCTAATGCCAAGACGGAGTTCACACTCCTGATCAAACCTACCAATGAAAAAAATTGTTCTTACCAAATTCAATTAGAATATTAAGAAAGAAACACTAAAAAATCATTGCATATCATTAACTGAAAACATGAACTACCAATATCATTCTCAACATAACCACAAAATGTTTACCTGATCCAAGAAAAAAAAACTGAAGTAGATTAGATGATACATTAATAGGCTCATAAAGTGATAAATTTTACTATAACTTGTTACCAAGAATGAGAAGTTCTTCCAACTATTAGCAACAATCACTATAAATTCAGTATCACTTGCAACTTGACTTCGCATTAACTAATTTACTTGCAGTGCAGAAAAAAAAACTGACCACACCACATTTAGAAAATTATGAAGAATGGACTTATTAACTAATATAAAAGGTTTTTCTTCATATTTAAGGAACTAGGCAAATCAATTCAAACTTGATAACAACTGATTGATATAGATTCACTAATTTGCTAGAAACACAATAGTAAGAGAAGCCAAATAAAATTTTAAGCAGATTCAATGAAAATGTGTACCCCTAGAGGGACATTAAGAAACTTTGAAATGTGAGAAACCATGGACCATTACAATCACAAACATTGTATAACTATTAAGCCTGGAAATTTCTCTACTCATTTCTAGGCTGCTAGATCAATCATCTCTGAACATATCAAGAACATAAGTAAGAAATTACTCAAAAACGTGCAATTGATTGATTGAGTAATTTATTAGCTTAAAAGGTAAGATAAGAGATCCGTGAGCCTAAATATGAAAGGGAAAATGCATAAGTACCCCCCAGCCTATGCCCGAAATCCCAAAGACACACCTAACCTTTACTAAGGTCCTATTACCCCCCTGAACTTATTTTATATGTAATATTCTACCCCTTTTTGGCCTACGTGGCACTATCTTGTGGGCCCAGCGCATGTTGACCAATTTTTCAAGGATAGTGCCACGTAGGCCGAAAAAGGGTAGAATATTATAGATAAATTAAGTTCGGGGGGTAATAGGACCTTAGTAAAGTTAGGTGTGTCTCTGGGATTTCGGGTATATGCTGGGGGGGTACTTATGCATTTTCCCAAATATGAAAAGATTTTTCATTATATTTTCTATTTCGAAAATCAAAATTTTCCCTCAAGAATCTACTTTCTTTCAAATCTCACCTTAATTAGTCCAAAGACTTTCAGGGTTGCTCCTAACTCCTAAGTTTAAGAAAAACATGTTCCGCATAGTAGTAGAGTACGTTACATGAATAACTAACATCAACCAAGATTTAAAGATACATCAAAATCAAGAAATATAGAAGGAAAACTATTGCACGCATGTCAATAAGCAAAAAAATTCTTAAAAATTGAAACATATACGGTAAATAAATGAACTTTGAATAGCCATTCACATTTTCAAATCTCCTAACATATACAAAATTCAAGAAACGTCAAATAGTAGAAGCTATAAAAATGACATGCAAGTAACAATATACACTTTTAAAATAAAATACGTATCTTTAAACTAAATTATAAAAATAAAAAAAGGCATTGAGGCTATTTTTTATCATTATCCACTCCAGTCGTCCTAACTTAGAGGACCCATAAAATTTTCAGAATATTTTTCTGGAAAAAAAATAAAATTAGCTGGCACGAAAACAAAAGAGAAAGAGTTGTTGAACAAACGCCGAAAAAGGACCAATTTGTAGCAAAGAGAATTCATCAATTTTGCAGATTGAATTTCTAGTAACAAAGATCTAAAATACTTTTTGAGAGAAAAAAGAGATGAAGAAGGAACTTGGTAATTCTGAAGAAAAAAAGTAACTATGATTGAGAATTAGGACTAAAAAGTGTAAACATATGTGGTTATCCGTTGTCCTCACACAGTGAATAAAGTTAATAGTGTATCTAAAAAAGGAAGTGTACACAAGTGATTATAGAATTGACAATACAACTAATATTTCTTTTAGTACAATACCATTGTGCACAATTCATCCTTAGCTCGTTGGCTTATATAAAAGGGTAAATTGATAACATCATTACTCTTTATGCACAAAGTGTGAGCCTACATCACCCAAAGTTTCTCTTTCTTTTCTTTCACAAACCATAACTTACATATTGTTGCTCTATCAGCTAAGTCTTATTTGGCCACCCCGGAGCAACTATTCATGACCATTATGAGGAAATCATTTACGAAGGAGATACATTAGTTAAATTTGAAAAATCAAGATTTGATTAAAATAAAATAAAAAAGTAAGTACTAAACTAATAAGAAGACAGAAACATAAGCTAAATACAACGCTTCTATACATCATTGTTTGTGACCCCAGATTCTATTTGCTCATCAATTTAATTGTCAATCACGTTTTTTTCTTCTCCTTATCAATGAATAGATCTCTTTACTTGTATATATAATTTATTTTTTAAATAATTTTTACAAAATTGACAACCAAAGGTCAATTTTTCACTTTTTTTTTTTATTTTTAAAAACGAACCTCCACGAAAAATATAATTTTGAAGAGTATAAAAAAAAACAAAGTATAGTAAGTCGGAAAATCGAATGGACATTTTCTTTAATTGGGACCAAAGTTTATGATTAGACCACTAACAAAATACAACGTAAATTCTAATTGGGCTCGTTTGACCATGCGATATGAAATCATAATTTGAAATCATGATATGAAATCATGAAATGAAGTTGAAGCTTTGTTTGGACAAGCAGTTTGAATTTTTTATGTTGTATGTTTCCTCATAAGAGTAAAAATCTCATAAGTTGAAAAACTATTAAAATTGTCCCAATTCGTTATACAATCCTGCCAAATGAGCAAAAATTTATAAAATCGCATAACTATACAAAGCTATCTAATTTTTTTTTTACAAGATCTATTAATTTAAATTTGATTCAATAAAAGAATAAAATTGAACATAAGTTGTAGCGTACTAGTCTTTAATATAATCCCCCCACATAGTACGACCAATATCCTCACATTAAACTTGGATCATATGACCGAGAAGACAAGTATAAATTTTATTTACATATGATATAAATAGTTAGTGAACATAAATGTAGATTCTTTTTAAAAAAAATATAAACTTGTGGATTAATTTTTATATTTGAAAAATCCCAAATCATGATTTGAAATTTCCAAATCATGTGTTTTTGGAGAATTTAAGATTTTATATCACAATATAAAATCACATGTCCAAACACCTACTTAGTGTTGACGTTGGTACAAGTGAGCCAAAAAATATAATCATGAGGGGTATTTTTAGCAAAATATATTGAATATATTTAGATCTTTTGGAATAATCCAGATTCATTTTTGGTCCTTTTACGAAAAATGTTTTACTGTCCTTATAACCCAACTTTTCCAAACCAATACAAAAGACATTGAGGAGACACTGTCATGGACCAAAATAAAACGATACAATGCTAAATGTATTGTCAATCTCTTCCATATGAATCCAAAAAACAATGTAGTACAATCCTCCAAATCAAATACTGCATTTATATTGGCCATTTTAATAAATACTTTAGAAGAATACATTGAACGAAGACTAACTTAGAATTGCATTACCAGAATATAAGCATAGTTGGTATCTGCTATATACAAATTGCAATAATAAACGACGACTCCAAACAACATACCCAGTGAAATCCCACTAGGTGGACATATTCGTGAAATTCCCTTCCCATTCATTTATCTTTTTTTTTTCCTTTATGGATATATATATGCGTGAAAATTTACAACATTTGCAGCATGAATCGGTCTCTCACCGGGTATAATTTACCTTTGTTACACCAAGAGTCACAGCAACCAAAGCAAGTGTAGCCTGATGAGAGAACAAAATGAACATAGTCAAAGCAAATGACATTAGGCAGAATAACTAAGATATGCAAGAATAGCACAGAGCACCAGAAGTGTGTGAAAATACTGGTACCATGTTTTCCTTTAGTGTTCTGGCAACAGCAAATAATTAGTTATCAAAAGGTCCATAACTGAAACTATTCAACCCCTTCAGCACCAACGAGCCAACAACAGATACTCAACTTTAAAGGAACATATTTGTTGTTCAAATTTAGCTAAAAAATGCCAACACTTGGTCCAATTTTAACGATTAAAAGGTTTACTACAAAGATGTTATACTCATGAAAGGAGCATTTTCTTAACAATATTTTCTTTATATTTGCAATTCACAAGTCTGTGTAACAATATTTTCTTAACGATTCTAGAGAAGTCACACCTAAAGGTTTATGAGGATATAAACACGTCCAGAAGTTAAAGCCTTCAGTCCATAACTCCTCCAGTTATTGATCCTCCTCTATTCAAGATTATTAACTTCTGGTACAAGCAAATTGATAAAAAAATTCTACAGAGAGCCACCCAAACAGCATCTATGCTCAAACTTCTATGTGCTTATGAAAATCACTCAACTCACTCTACAGGTTTACAATTGAAAAGGCAGTAATATGTTACACATCTACAATATATGGGAAACCTATAATGTGAGGAGCACTAGAGTAATTGAACATATGGTGCACATATCTATACTGTTACAAGAAGTATACAATTTAGGAACTAGACTAATTTCAATACCACTCATCCCAAATTCTCCCCAAAGAAGAAAGAGAGGTGTCTATAGCGAACCATCTATCACATCCTTCCCAAAGGATAAGGGCTATGTGCTGCCTCATATGTATTTCTACTTTCTTCTACTCAGCCAACAAACTTCTGAATTCTTATGATATGTGAATTAAAGAAGACAGTCAAGCGAGAAATATGTAGCTAGACACTTAGTCTAGAAAGGCCAAGCTTCATCTATTATAGCCTGCAAGTTTTACTGCAACACGCCAGTCCGCTTTTTAGAATTTCCTCTCCTAGTTCCTTATCAGAAGACATCCTTACACAATGCTCAACAATATGATGCGACAATAAACCAAGGGACTTCCTACATTTTTCCACTGAGACAACTTCATCAAGCTAGTCCCAAGCCCATGATAGAAGGAAAGACTGTTGAGCGTTGACTACACTAAACTTGCAACAGGCAGTAACTTGTTAGAATTGCCTGTCCACAAAGTTGAACAACATGATGCAGGTATCAATAAAAAGACTTAAATCATCTTTCATGCTACTTGCTTGAAATTGAAAACAGCGGGAAGGTAAATCCATAGGCAGACAACATTAACTTCTAATTAGATTTCCCTCTCTACTATATACTATGAAGCACAATGGTCAGCACACCGCTTCCAGTTTTCACTTTCTTAGCCTACCAAGTTTCTAGCGCAAAGATGGAGATCTGAAAAGTTACATTGTGCAGAGGTAAACCAGTGTTAAAAGGCCTAGTTAACTTAGTATCACTCAGTAATGCCAGTGCATACAAATATAACCATACATGTAAAAATCTCATATCTCTATTCCCTCAGTGTCAGGCCAATATAGGTTAACCTCAGAGAAAGAGAGAAAACGCACATGAAACCCCGGATTGCACAAATAAAGCCATTATACACAAAACATATGCAATAAATGAATTGATATTGCCATTTAAAAGAAAAGAATGAATTGATATTTCCATTTAAAAGAAAAGAATGAATTGATATTGCCATTTTCAAGAAAATAAATTAATTGATACCAGATCAAAAATAAAATAAAATAAAATAAATGAATTGATATTGCAAGAGATGAATAAACTTACTGCTAAGGTGCATGCAATAAATCCAGGTTTTTCTCTATAATCGAGCCGAGCACACAAAAGAAGAAAAGCTCCAATGTACCAGGGAATGGCACCAAGAAAGAAACCAATAATGAACCTTGCAAATAAAGTCAGAAGAGCATTAGAGAACAAATCATGGTTGAAATTTTTGGTTGAGCTTTCCCCGAATCATAAGATCTAGTTTATAATGATCTGGTCCATTAATGTCAGGATCCAGTAAATCCATTAGAAAATTTCAAACTAGGTTCTATGTTTCTAAGTTGTTACTCCTGTGTGCATTTACTTTTTTGTGCCCAAAAATCTAACATCTGACCTCGTTTTTTCTCTTAGCTAAAATTTAGTGACTGAATTTGGTGAGCGAAGAATTCCTAAGCCAAAATAATAAGTCAGTGAAGGTTATTACATCACTTAGTTCCTCAGATAAACAAATGAGAAAAGGAGGCAAAGAAAGGCAAATATAGGAACTTACAAGAACCAGCCAATTCCCATACCACAGCAAGGAAGCCGATGCTCCCTTATGGGTCTACCTTCGGCAACAATATAACCTAAAATCAGAGCGAAGCCAAAATGAGAATATGGTATATAAAAGTCTAAACATTAGTCTTTTGAATATCCAAGGATCGATCCCCTTTGAAGATACACTACACAAAGCACCAAAAGCAATGAAAATCATCTCATAGTTCTCCACTTTTGATTGAAAGGAAATACAGGGAAGTATTCAAAACTGACAAGTATCCCCCTGTTTATATGCCTTACTTTTGCATATCAAGAAAGAAAAAACTGCCTATTTTTATACTTCTAATGCAATCCGGACTTCAATAAAGCAGGAAGTATCAGAAACATAGTTAATGTCTGGTTGATCAATCTCTATATACTTTTGATACCTAGTTAAAGCCTCATTGACAAAATTATCTCCGTAAATTTGATGCCAAGTTAAGCCTCATTGACTAAATTCTCTCCATAATTTTTTTTTATGACAAGGGAATCCGCAGTCGCTACCCTTTGGGTGCGCACAGGGTGAACCCCGCTCTTGTGTAATAGCTCGCAAACCACATAGGAGAGGTAAACCACATTAGCCCCGTGCAACGAGTTCGACCCAGAAGGCCCGGCCAACCCCCTGTTGTCGCAGGCAAGGGTTTCAAATTTGAGACCTGCATTGTGGAAATCCCAAACCAAATCATCTAAGCCACCCCGAAGGATATAATTCTCTCCATAATTTTGATGCCTTAGTTAAAGCAGCATTATCAAAATTCTCGCCATATTTACTGCAAAATAACTTTATCTACACAGATACATAAACAAAATATATTTGACTAGTTTCTTACAGAAACAAATGTGAGGTCTAAATCAGAAACTGAGAGACAAATAAGAGAGATTCACTCCTCTTCCACTTTAAGTCCACATCAAACTGATTAACATCAATATTTCACAGGTAATTTCAGAAGGAAATGTTCCAACCACCAAGCTAAATCAATCACATCAAATTGCCAGGTATTGCCATATGAACATCAATTCTCAGTCAACACGAATACCAGGTGAGCTGATAAAAGCAATGACCTCCTTTTCTCTGTTTCTTTTTGCATATAGCATGAAAATCGTTATCATACATTTCAGATGCACACAGCTCAAGCACAGTGGAAAAGAAGACTCGAAACTAAAACTTTGAATGGTTGATGGAAATTAAATTGTTAATACAAAAAAGGGGTTTAGACTACACCATCTGCACTAATCTTTTCTTAAGTGACTTGCCTCCTTAGCCTATGACACAAACCAATTATTTATGCAGTGAATAACAATGAAGGGACTGTTTTGGATAAAGTAATAATTTTATTGAAATTCAAGCAAATGAACATGCTCATATACCAGAAAGTAGAAAATCTACAAAAAAATATGATTTTATATGAACAACACCCAACATACACCAGTCCTTTGGGACTGTTATATGCTAAAAAATAATATCATGATTGTTATCCAATGAATAACAAAACAAAGAATATTTTGTAGGAATTACGTACTTCAAAGGCATTTTTTTGTTGTTAAATACTTTTATCTCTGAATTACTAATATATAGAATCCTGCATACTTAATGCAGGTATAATTTAATACCGCTAACCAAACGCTGCACAAAGTTATGCAGGAGTTCCATTTTATATGGACAGCCAAACTGAGCAGTATTTCATCTTACCTATCAAACCAAAATTATGGCCAATAAAATATTGCATTAGCATTGCGGGAATTATCTTTTTCCCTAATCCCTCCACCCCAAGCCAAACACTGTTCTCTTATGCATGATTTTTTGGAGGGATATTTTTCCTAATCCCTCCCACCAAACGACCACTCTATATTGAACAAGAAAACTTTATGTCTTATACTAACAACTAAGAAAGGTTGTTGTTATTGTTTCTTTCATGTAGACTTTTCATCGCTTTTCTTATTAATTGTTGTGCTTTCTTCATTGTTTTCTTCTTCTTTTACTACGGTTTGATGCACTTGAGCCGAGGGTCTTTTGGAAATAGCCTCTCTACCTTCACGAGGCAATGGTAAGGTCTGCGTACACTCTACTCTACCCTCCCCAGACCCCACTTAGTGGGACTTCACTGGGTATGTTGTTGTTGTTGTTGTAGTACTAACAACTAAGAGAGTTAAGAAGGTTTTGGTAACAATACTCATTAGCCATGGCATTTACTTCTCATAACACATTTAAGATCACCTAATAAGGAAAGAAAAAAGGTTTAAGAGGTTGATATTGACAGACCAATTCTTCTATTCTCTATTGCCATCTCATAATTATTTCCCACCAGACCTATCATTTACTACAATCAAGAAATTGTTTGTTTTCAGCCTCAAAAGGTGGTGGATAACGGACTACCTTTCTACCCTTCTCTACTTAAATACCGGACTTGGTTCATATCAGGACTCAAACATGTGAGTATACCTTTCTCTCCTTGTACTGCTTTTGCTGCTGAACTAAAGCCCTTGGTAATTTATTCACATAACCTTTAACAAGCTTTAATTAGACCCAAATACACATATTTTAGTATCTAATTACCATAATATGTATAGTTTTCAAACGTGGAAGAGAAAAACGCGCTAAACCTCCACAAACTATTATAAGAATTACGGAAAAGGCTCAAAAATACCCCTAAACTATCGGAAATAGCTCAGATTTACCCTTAAACTATATTCTGGCTCAAAATTACCCTTCCCGTCAAAGTATTGGGTCATACTTACCCTTCTAATTAACAAAAGTATGTTAAGTGCCACGTGGACGCCATATGGACACCACATGGACGCCACATAAGAGCCAAACATTTCCCACTTCCACATAGACTAATAAGATCCCTAATATCTAATTTTCCCCTCATTTCTCTTAAGATACGATTTCACCCATTTCCCCTCATTTTCGCGGCTAGGGTAAGAAACGATTTCACAGATTTCTTCATTTTGCAGCTGGGTTTCGAAGTTGATTTCGCAAATTAGCTGAGGATGCTGCGTGGAAGTTTGTGAAAGAGAAAGCTTTCAATATGGTTACAATAAACCCAACGATGGTTATAAGCAGTTTGTTGCAACCAACACTTAATACAAGTGCTGCTGCAATCTTACAATTGCTAAATGGTATGCTTTATCTTAAAGCAGCTAATATGTCTTTGATCTCGTCATCTGAACGGAAGAAATCGGTGAAATCGTTTCTTACCCTAGCTACGAAAATGAGGGTAAATGGGTGAAATCGTATCTCAAGAGAAATGAGGGGAAAATTAGATATTAGGAAACTTATTAGTCTACATGGAAGTGGGAAATGTTTGGCGCTTATGTGGCATCCACGTGGCACTTAACCTACTTCTGGTAATTAGAAGGGTAAGTATGACCCAATACTTTGACAGGAAGGGTAATTTTGAGCCAGAATATAGTTAAAGGGTAAATCTGAGCTATTTTTGATAGTTTAGGGGTATTTTGAGCCTTTTCCGTAAGAATTAAGAAGTATAACATGATTTCTCAACATAGTTAACTTTCTTTATTACCTTTTCTGATTCACAATCAGTGATCCTTGTTAAAATTTGGAACGCTAGGACCAAAGGAAGCATGTACAACTCACACAAACAAAATCAAGAGTACGTTTGGGAATTCACTTCCAGAGAACCTTAAGGGATAAATAATCAAATACCATATGAGCGCGCTCCCCATCCTATGTTCCACAACCAATGTTAAACATTGTCACATGTTATACACAGTGATCAATTTGGCCTTTGATTGATAAATAGACCACCAAATTTGGTGGGACACATAACTAGTAGTTTCTTTAACCTCATTGCACTTCTTAAAACATATCATGGAACTTTAATACCTTTTACTTGACTAGAAGTACCATTCAATGTCAATGAACTGGGTTGAGAACCATGAGATTTTAGGTTCGATTTCTTGCGAGACAAAATTACTAGGTGATTCCTTCTAAAAAAAAAATAATTACTAGGTGATTTCTTCTCAAATGTTCAAGTCATGGAAGACAAAATTACCTGGTGTGTGCTAGTGGGAGGTACCAACTACCTCGTGGAATTAGTCGAGTAGCACACAAGCGACCCCTACACCATGGTTTCAACTCTCTTGGATTGATTTTCAAATGGCAATTTCATCATCCCTATTATTCCCAAAATTAAACTAAATTAAATAAAAACTGCATTGGGTTGCATAACTGGATATAGGTATTCTTCAACATAAATCAATGTTACACCTAGAAGCCTCCATATTACAACCAGAAACCGAGTTACAGAGTAGAGACTACTTTAAATCAATTACTCCCTCCATCCCAATTTATGTGACGCTCTTTCTTTTTTAGGACATCTCCAACCCTACACTCTATTTTACCCTCCAAATATAGAGTTCTCTATTTTTTCAGACAACCAACTCCAACCCAATTCTCTATTTTAATCTCTAAAAAAGAATCTTCTTCTCTCCTCAATATTATATTATTATTTCTATTTCTATTTTATTTTCTTATTTCATACTATAATCCATTCTTTCTTTTTTCAAAATAATTATCCTATATAATTTTCATGTAATATAAAATTATTTTTTTTCAAATTCTTTATTTAATATAAAATTATATTTTATTCTAAAATTTTAAAGAACTAAGAATAATTGAAAAAAAGAAATCAACAAGCACAACCGCAATCACAAGCACAACAATTCTCTAGATCATACACTATTTGTTTTCCGAATATTGTTAAATCTGAAAAAGACCTACTGAATTACTAAATTATTGTTGTGATTTTTAAAATTATTATGTTATGTATTATAATGTTATCTTGTATTTATATTATTATGTATTGTATTTTTAAATTAAAATTTTCATCTTATCATTTAAATTTTGTGCATTCTTCATAGTGAAAATCAATAATAATATCAAATTATCTCTTAAAGTGACGCAAATTGAAAAAATATTTGAAATATTGTTAATTCGGGATGAAAGTACATATTTTAAATAGTACATTTTTAAAATGTTGTATTACATTTAAAAGGAATTACGAATATTAAAAATTTAATTAATAGCCTTATATGAAAAATAATAGTTAGTTACAAAATAATAGAAATAATATTAAAATAATGAAAAAGTGAACCATAGAGGTGAATAGTAGTTCTCCAAATTTGGAGAACTACTATTCACCTCTCGATAAATATGAAAGAAAGCTTTTTAGAGGGTGGTTGGAGACCCAATTCTCTATTTTACTCTTCAAATATAGAGAATGGAGAGTAAAATACAGTGGGGTTGGAGATGGTCTTAGTCAGTCTAAAAAGAACGACACATTTTTATATTTAGTAACAATTAACTTAAAACTTCTCATTTCTCTTAATATGATGATTTATAGCAACACAACCTCTGTTGCTCGGACTCCCCAAAATGTTGTCGCACCTGTGTTCAGATTCTCCAAAAATGCACTAGCTTTAGAGGAATTTTTGAAGAGTCTGAGCAACATATCACGCAATGATCTATTTTAGACTACAAGTTCCAAAAGTCTTCCTTTCATTCTTAAATTCGTGTTCACTCCAACATCTTCACATAAATTAGGACTGATGGAATATTATAGTTGGGTGGAGCTTAAACGACTAAACATATTTTCGATTACCTATCTTTGCAACTATCTCATTCTTATAAGTAGAAAAATTATGTAATTCCTCTTCTCAATTGTGTGATGCTCGTTCCTTTATAGTTCGTTCCAAAGAGAGTGACATCTTTCAATTAATATTTCCTTTAAGAATGATAAAAAACAATATAGAACAAGGTATCCTATAGACCTAAACAAGTTGTGTAGGTAACCAAAGAGAGAAATACAAGTAAGTTCCTAGAACAATGTCTTCTTACACGTAGTCTAGATTATCAAAAACATATTTAGAATCTTTTAGGTATTCTAGATGGGACAATCCTCCATCTCTGCTCCAACTAGCTAGCACCTCCGTTATTCTTCCTACATTGTCCGACTAATTCCCCTTAGGTTGATAAATATTTTCCAAAGTTGGTTTGTCCACTTACAATGTAAAAAGAGATGGTTAATTATCTCTTCTTGTTCTCACATAGGTAACATCTACAACATAATTGGTAGCTCCTTCACCAAATTATCCTGCGTCAAAAGACTCAAAACTACCTCTTTTGTCAACAAAGTGAAACAAGAAACTTTTAATGAGATTTTGACTCTTCATATCATCTTCCATGGCCAACATCCAACCTGATTGTTGGAAAGATTATAATCTCTATAAGCTTACTTGACAAAGACCTTAACCTGACTTCCTTTGCCATATCATGCAATCATCATAGGCCCTTTGAATTGTGCTAAGGTGTTGCATAACTTTGTAATTCTACCAATCTCCCAATCATTTAATAATCTTTTGAAGCTAAGGTTTCACCCTTGCTCTGTCCACAACTCTCTCACAACTGCCCCTTGTCGTGAAAGATTATAAATGTCTAGAAAAATTTACTTAAATGGACTTTGATATAGAAAATTATCTTCCCAACAAGATGTCTTCAAGTCATTTCCTACCTTGAGTCTGGATTTGCTTATAATTGACGGCCATAAGTTCCTAAAAGACTTCCATACACTAACCCCCATAGGAGATGTTCACACGATCTATTGTCCAATTACCTTCTGCTCCATATTTGATTATGATTACATCCTTCCACATTGAGTTCTCATCTCTAATAAACCTCCATAACCACTTCATCATCAAGCTTTGGTTCTAAATCTTCAAATTTTTAATCCCCAATCCCCCTTTCTTCTTGCTGACTGATAGGTATTCAAGTTGACTAGGTGAATTTTTCTTTTCTCACAATTGCCTTGCCATAGAAAATTTATTCTAAGTGTATCAATTTTTCTCACTACGCTTGTAGGAACTGGAATAGAGATATCATATAGATAAGCATACATAAAGTACACTACTAATGAAAGTTATCTTCCACTCAGATACAAGTATGACTCTTCCAATTTGTCATTTCTTTATCACATTTCTCCAATACTCCAATCCGGATCACTTTAGATTTACTCTTATCTCCTAAAATTTCAGCCAAACTGTGTATCTCCCTTACCTCATTAACGGGGTAAATATAACTTTTGCTCCAGTTTATATATAATCCAGAAGTGGCTTCAAACAAAATGGAAATCGCCCTCAACATTTTCAATTGATCTTTGTCAACAACACGAGATACTGGTGTATTATCGACATATTGAAGATGGGAGATTTCCAGGCTATTATAGATTGTTCTGGAATTCACATTGATACCCCTGGTTCATTCATTAGCATTTGCAATTTTCAATATATCATTTAGCCCCTACATATCAATGATGAAAAAGAAGGGTGACATGGGATCCCCTACCTTAAGCCTTTCTGAGAAGAAAACCCAACTGATGCCTTTCTATATTTGAAATGATTTACTTTAAAATGGGTGGAGATATCATGGCATTCTTCCAATAATAAAAATTTAAGTCATATACAGGGTCGCACAAAAAAGGTCATCTCCACCTGTTGTAGCATGTAAGTTGTCTGAATTTCAAAATTAGAACTCTTGAAAATTTTGACAAGACTAACATGAGAATATCCTTTGGTTGACTTGATATTGTAATTTTCTTTTCACATTGATGGTGTATGCAACAACTTAAACCCAATAATAAGTTCCAAGAACCTATCTTTCTTTTGTAAAACTCCGTTTCAAATCAAGCCCTGCCACATAAGATGAAACAGACGGAGTATCTATATCTAATTATATTATAATCCATTTCTAATTCCAGCATATCCAAATGATCTCATTTGACATACCCAATTATACCTCAACTTAAGCACACAAATCCAACAAAGTAAATGGAACTACAAACAAATTTGACTTTTCTGTATTCTCATTTTAATTTGTAAAACATTATGAGAAGAAAAGAAAATCACCTTGAACGGTCTGATAACCATGAGGATAGTAACACGGAGGAACAACGGGACACCAGGAGGAGGTATAGGTTGAGGGAAACCGAAGACCGATTGAGAATGCGAAGGAGGAGTTTGATAATTGGCGACTCCTTGAAATGTCCCGTAGTAATAGTTTGCCGGCGATGGCTCGCCGGTGGCTGCCACCGTTGCCGGAGCTCTCTGTTCATCTTTCCACCCTCTTCGCTCATTCCTTTCCGTTCGATCGATGATCGAAGATCGATCAAAGGTTTAGGGTTTCGATCAAAGAGATTGTGATCAGCGAATTTGTTATAGTTGATCACTTGAGACGTTTAAGCCTAGCATTGCCCGGACACGTGGACTTTTTTTTTTTGGGGGGCTAAAAAAAATTGCTTTCCTCTTTGATTCGAGCTTTTGATATAAAAAAAAAATCCGTCATAAAAATCAAAATAATAACATGTTCATACCCCAATTCAAAGTAACTCAATAAATATTTATTCTTTATAAAAAAATTACAACTCATATTCTTCATTCATTAAGGTTGATAATTTTTGTTATACTAAATCAATATCATATGGTTGTATTGGTATCATTGAAGCTGATAATTTCGCTTAACTGATACTAAATCAATATATATAATGTATTGGTATCATAATTTCACTTAACTGATAGAAAGTGATTCCTCTCGAATTAAGTCCTACGTAACACGAATTCATATTAATCAAGCTTCAATAAGAATATCGAACACAAAATGAAAAATCAAAAAATAAATAAATGATCCTTTTATTTTCAGCTTGTTGGTTATATATATAAAAGATTTAGTTGGTTCTCGAAATTCTATCAGTGTCACATGAATTGAACAAATGAAATAACATATATTATTTAAAAATTACATAAAAGGTACTATAAATCATAGTAATTAACAAATCAATATATGTAAAAATCGTATATGAAATATGGTCGACTCTCTTAATTTCATTTGTGCCACATAAATTGAAATAAAGAAGGGTTGACGTGTTATTTGGAAATGACGTAAAAAGTATTACAAATCACCAAAAAATTGACAACTTAAAATATTTATAAAAAAAGACAAATAAAAATTTGATTGACTCTCTAAATTTCATCTGTGTCACATAAATTGAAAGTAATATTTATTGAACCAGTGATGTCACATACTCCTTGTAGATATTGAAAATTTATGGGACACTGGTAGACGTGTTCAATTCTAGTTGAGATTTTATAGATGTATTCGATTCCAGTTATAATTCTTGGAGGCTACTCTAATCTTAAACTCTAACTTATGTCCTTAAAGAAACATCTCAAAAATTTCACAAATTAATGAAATATTCAGAAAGAGATCAAGCTATGACCTCTTACGTTCGAGAAATACAAACAAGGGATAAATAAATTTGTACCCACAATGTTTATCAATAAAACTATTTTTCTTCATATTTTATTTATGATGGCAACTTATTTTCCGTCACTTTAAAATTTATTTCAAACACTAAGTATATAGTTTGCACATAATGTATACGAACAATGTACCCATATAGCTACACACACACATAATGTATACGAACAATGTACCCATATAGCTATATATAGTTTGCATATTTACGGGCTGTAGCTACATTTTAAGTTGTCTCGTTTGTATAATTCGTGGGTACATTTGCATAATTCAATTATTTTTGTATAAACTCAAAATAACGAATTTATACAATTACAAACATCTGAAATGTAAATAGTTATACAAATTATATTATACAAATTTTGAATTATACAAACGTGCAAATTATATAAAAATAAAAATCTGAGCCATGTAATTATAGCTAAAAGTAGGTCGCGAATTGTAATTAAGGCAAACTATAGTTGTGTTAACTAATTAACTAGTATGTATTTGCTTATACGCGTAATTTTTCCTACTATTATTAGACATGAAAATCAAATGAAGACGAAATAAATTGTCATTGATTTTTTTTTTTTTAATATTAATTTAGTGAGATGCAAATTCAGCGGAACAAATATTGTAATGAATGGCTATCTTTTTCGTATACCTATACAATTAAGTTATTGATTTTAGGGAAAAGACTCAAATCTGTCATCAAATTTTTAGAAAAAATTCATCTATGTCATCCGTTAAAAGTTTGACTCATCTATGTCATTGTTGTTAAAGAAAAGATTCATCCATGTTATTTCTTTTAACTCCGATTTTGCAAAACCATTTTTACATCCTAAACAACTTTTAACACTTTTCAATTGGAGTTTTTGGATCAAATGTACTCTTTTTGCTTCTTCTTCCTTAAGAACACATAAAGAACATTAACAATTCCCAAATTTCAAACTTCTTTAATTCTTCACGAAATCACCTCAAATTTCAAGATTAGTTTCCCTCCGAGCTAGATACCAAAACTCAATATCTTTTGAGTGCGAATTCAATCTAACTCAACAAGACTCACTTGAAATTTCTTCGAAGTTTCAGAACTTCAACATTCTTTAATGATAGAAATTTCTCCACCACTTCAAATTATTTAAAATTTTGAACATAGACTTAAAAAACAGTAGGGAACAAAGATCTAATGTCAAAAACAATTACAAAAACATAAAGCAAAGCAAGTTTTTGAAATTTTTGGAATATTTTTTTTTAATACGAGTGAATTTTTTAAACCCTACAAATGATTTTAGAATTTTATTTTTTTAAAAAAGAAATTAATAATGTAGCCGAAATTTGAAATGATTTCGTGAAGAATTGAATATGTTGAAAATTTGGGAGTTGTTATAAAATAATGATAGAATACTAAAATCAAATGGAAAAACATAGAAAGAAGAAGAGGAAAACAAAAAGTAATAAGAACAAAGAAAGGGAGAAAGTAGTAGTATTTTTATAATTATTGGTATATCTCTTTGTTGTATGTAATGCCTCTTTTATAGGTAAGTGTTACTTGGAGAGGTTATATTGCTACAGTGGAATGGCCCCACATGGGCATTCACTTGACATTATTATTTACAACACTCCCCCTTGAATGTCCATGTATAAAGAAAATACAAAATAAAAAAAATTGTACATAGTTATTTATAATACACATTGTTTGTTGCCTCATTGCAAAGTGTTTGAAAGAAACTTCTTGTAAGCCGATTGTAGGAACCTACTTGTAAGCTGCTTATTAGAACCTGCTTGTGTAAGTTGTTTATAGAAACCCTTCTTTTGCGGAGCTGCTTGTAAGTTGCTTATAGGAGCCTGCTTGGTAGAGTTGCCTATAAGTGTCTGCTTGTGGAGCTGCTTGTAAGTTGTCTTCTTGATTTCAAGCTTATCCAGAAAATTGTGTAATGGACATCTACAATATGATGTATTTCCTACTCATTGGAGTTTATCAATAGATAATGTGCTTCATTAAAATTTTACTAGGAAAAAATTCGGTGGAAAAATTTTCTAGTGAAGGCAAAAGAGTACACATATCTAGTAATACGCATTGAGAGTTGCCTTATTAAAAATCTTACCAGGAAAACCCATTGGAACAAAACCTTAGTTAAGGGAAAAAGAGTGTTGCGCGTATTTACTCCCCCTGATTAAAACATCATTTAATTCTTGTAAAGGATGTCTCCCAATCATATACTTAGCTTTTCAAATGTTGATATTGATTGTGTCTTTGTGATCAAATCACATTCATAAAGATGTTGCATCCTTGAGCTTATCTTGATATATCGTTTCTTACCCGTTTAATATGTTGAGTTCAGCCAAATACATTTTATTTTATTTTTGACAATCACTTAATTTGTGTAACGACCCATTTGGTCGTTTTGAGTACTAGAGTTTTTTATTTCATAAAAGACTTTTCGATAGATTTTAAATGGGTATTTTGGACTATTCGTAACTACTATTATAAATTTAGTGGGGTGGTTTTAATTGTTTTTATTAGTGGTAGTTAATGGACCAAGTCCATAATTTATTTAATTAAATTATGGTCCATGAATAAGAATAAATTAGAGGGTTTAGTAATTATTTAATTATTAGTTGATAATTATTTACCCTAAATAATTAAAAGACTAGATAAGAAGATTTACGGTAGAGGAAAACCTTACTTGCGGCGTCTACCAGTGAAAACCGACACCCAGGTAACTTCATTCTTCAATTACCTTAATTAATATTTGATGGTTTAGAGTTACCATTAGGCGTTTGCATGTGGTGCAATAACAAATATTTAGGGATAAAATGTAGTGCAAGTTGAGTGGTGGCGGCTTTGGGTTGTAGATGTAGTTGTTGCAGATTAATATTAATATTACTATTATATTATGATTGTGTATAGGAAAATTAGGGATAAAAGACATTATTATTGTATTAAAGTTGAGTGAAAAGAATTAAAGAAGAGAATTAGAAATTGTAATGTTAAATCTAGTAATTTTCTTACGGCTACTTGTGATCCTTGTGAATTTGGGGAATATATGCTCAAAAGTATCCATGGTATAATCATTGGATAATGATCATTGTTGACACCCAATTTTGGCCCTCTGCATTATAGATTAACACGAGCTTCTTTATTTTCAAAGGATTTGAAATATTTGACTTTATAAATTTTAAAAAAAATGTCTTTCAAGTTATTTTAAAATAATTTTGGTTATATTTTTATAATTTTTAAATAATAAATATATTTTATGTAATTATATACATAATTAATATATTTTCTAAATATTCAAAAATCGTCTCAAAAGATTTTGTGTTAATTAATTTAGTTAAGTAATAGTTCATATTTTTGAGTTAATTAGTTAAGTTGATTATTTTATTTCGTTAAAATTAAAAAGCTCGTTAGTTAATTTAATTAATTTGTCTTATTTAATTTTTGACCGAATTTACAAATTAATTTTAAATGGCTAAATTAAAATTCATATGGTCATCTCTCCAATTGCAAAGCTAACTCATCTTTTGGCTTCTAACTTGAACCAATTTTAAGATCTAACATCAACTCTTTTCCCACAATTTTTCAACTAAGTTTGGGTCATTTCCTCTCAAATTCCAAACCGGCCCAATATTTCCAACATTCCACAGAAACCCATTCAATCAACTAATTAATTAAGCCAATTTGAGCCCAAATTTTAAAGCCCTCAAAATCAACCCACTTAGTAAATACACCTAGGCAATGATCTTCTCCCTCACATACGCACATAGCAACAACAAACAAAACGAGCCTTAATTCCCTAAATTTCCAATTTCGCAACCTCAATTTACTCTTCTCTCCCT